TTAAGCATATCTTGATTCTTAATTTCCTCACTTGATGGAAGTCCCATTTGTTTTTGTCTTTGATCAAACATCATTTTTTCAACCGCAGCTCTTGTCTCTGTGTCCAAATCAGACAATTTACTTGGTTCTGGTTCCACTTTTTGTGTGTCAATTTCTTGTCCACCTTTGAATAAACTTTTCCACCAATCAGATTTGTTTTGTTTGGTTAAAAGAATTGAAATTTCTTTTTGATCTTCTAAACTCCAATAACATTCATCAACTTTAACTCCCTTGAAATATTCACCATCTAATATTAGTGGTTGGTTTTTTAGTCCAACTTTGAGAGTATTGGTCTTGAATTCCACAATTATGAATCTTGATTTTGTACCTAAGGTAAAAAAAAAAATCGAAAATTTCATTAAGAATATTCAGATAATTTATTGTATATGGAAAAAAAAAAATCAATAATCTATGTAAAAGGATTTAAAAAGTACTAATAGATTGTCACGATTGAAATTTAAACATGTGATCTGAAACATATTTTTAAATAAGCTATCTAAAGCAACCCCTAAACGTTTTTCTTATATTAAAGGGATTCAACAATTTATATATAATCAGAAAAATTATTTTCGCCCTATAAAACACATAATAAATTAAATTATTATATACCTGGAGGAACAGGGACATTGATGGTAACTTCTTGAAGAGATTGTCCCCATGAATAATTCTCCATATCAAGTCCATTAGACTTATTTGGCTGAAGTTTCTCTTCTTTTGGGGTTGAAGATGAATGTTCTTCTTCTTTGGGGGCTAAAGTAGAAGAATTTTCTTGTTCTTTCTCAATAATCTCCATGGTTTGGTCTTGATTTTCTTCTTGATAATCTGAAAGAATTGCCATTCTTGAAAAAAATATTAAACAATTTTTTTTTATCACAAGTAGAAGAGAAAATTATGTGAATTGATGTGAGAAATTTGGGAGAATAACTGGGGGTATATATAGGGAAAATAAAATAAAATCCGTTTTTGTTAAGAATTAGAATCCTTAGTGTAGTTGGAAATTAAAGTCCTTAAAATTATTATTAACCGACTTAATAACCTTTTTTTCCTAATTTTTATTTATTTATTTTCTAGAATTTCGAATTGTAAAAGGAAAGAAAAAGAAATATTTAGCGTGAATTAAATTTTATATTAGAAAAAAGGTCACTATTATACTTTTCCTAGTAAACCGACTCAAGACTTCTTTTCCTAACTAATTAATGCTTTAGGTAACTTTTTTTTTTTTAAACGTTACTAGTTAACCAAACGAGGGGTGCAGTGAGATACATAAAATTAGTTTATTTTTTAATTATAAGACAATGTTCGAGTCCTAGATGTAGGGGTGTTCATAATTTGGATAAAAACCGAATCAAACAGATAAAATAAAATCGATTTTATTTGGGTTTGATTTGGTTTGGTTTTGGATTTTTGAAAACCGATAGTATTTGGTTTGGTTATGGTTTTATTCGAAAAAACCGAAGAAATAACCGAACTGAACCGAACCGATAAATTATATACATATATTTTATTAATATACATACTTTAATATATTTTTTTATAAACAATTTTAAAGATCTTATACATATTTTCATTAAAATTTCTTTATAATTTACTTATTGAAAGCAAAAATGACCAAGATGAAACATTTATCTTTTTGATTTCATGTATATGAGTGTCTATGACAATTCTTTGTGGGACTGAAAATGTTATTGTCTCTTCCTTCTAAGCCAATATAGTGAATTTTAAAGCTTTATTGATAGTAAATTTAGTGACCGAAAGTTCAGTAATTTAAGTCATTCTAACTATTTTTCGTTTTGAATGGATTGTTGTCACTTTTTTCACATTTTGAATGAATTGTTTCATTTATTTTTGTGTATGGTTAATAACCGAATAACCGAACCAAACCAAATCGAAATTGATAACAATCAAACCGATAAATGTATATTATATTTGGTTTGGTTTGATTTTGATTTTGACCAATAACCGATCCAAATCGACCCGTGAACACCCCTACCTAGATGTATAAATATTCCCGTTAGATAATGGTTTCCCTTAAATATGTCTTAACCAAATAAAATTACTCTACTTTTTAATTATAAAACTCGGTTCAAGTCCTAGATATATAAATATTCCCGTTAGATAATGGTTTCCCTTAATATGTCTTATAGGAATTAGGATTAATCAATTTTTAAATACGTATATTAAATTTTGAGTAAAAAATGAAAAACAATGATAAACAGGGAAAATTATGTATTATTCCCATTTCCCACAATGTTGGCTCATTTAAATTAATAGGAAGAATAAGAAATAAGGGGCGAGACTTTTTTTTCTTTTGTATGTCGTTCAATATCTGATATTTATATTAAAATTCCTATCGATTTGAATTTGCGTCACATTGACACTCTAAAGAAGAAGGGCTGTTATTGAAAAAATAATAATTTGTTTTTCCATGGCGTCTAATTAAGAATTAAAAAATTATATTTATCTTACTATAGTTCTCTATGATGAAGAGTATTCAATCTAACTTTTGTAGGACTAAGATAAAGGGAATAATTAATACTACACTAAGAATACAAAATTTCGAATATATATATATATATATATATTTTTTTTTTTTTTTTTTTTTTTTTTAACTATAGCCTAAAATGTTTTTAGGCTATAATTCAATCAATCACGAGTCTCACGGTATGTTGTTGTTATTAACACTCAGATTTCCTTTTCTTTCTCTAATAATTTACTATAAATACACTGCTTTTTTATTTTAATTAACACACCAATTCACTAATTTTTTTCTTCTTTTAATTTACTAAAAAAAATGGCAATTCTTTCAGACTATACTGAAGGTGAAAATCAATCACAAGCCAAAAAGGCTGTTGAAGAAGAAAAACAAGAAGAAATTAAAGAAAGTGAAAATCAAGAATCAATTAACACTTCTTCTTCTTCTTCTTTAGATGAAAAAAAAGAAGAAGAAAATAAGAAATTAAAGCCAAATCAATTTAATGGTCTTGATATGGAAAATTATACATGGGGACAAACTCTTCAAGATGTTACTATTAATGTCACAGTGCCACTTGGCACAAAATCAAGATTTTTAGCTGTGGATATCAAGAACAATTCCATCAAAGTTGGACTCAAGAATCAACCACCAATTGTTGAAGGTGTGTAATTAGATAATTTTGTTTATATACATAAATGTCGAAGCAGATTCAGAATTTAACATTTATTGAAATCGGTAATTTTTAACGTAGATCTAAGTTCCGTGTCAAAATATTGAGATCAGATGAATTCATAACTTTTTAAACTAGATCCGCCACTAGATAGACATGAAATGGGATTGTCACACTTTCTAAGGTACAAATGAGTTCTGAAAATTTTTAGTATAGGGTTTTTTTCCCCCACAAATAACACCAGTCAGATTTACTATTTTAAAAAGTCATATACATAAATTATACAAAAGTTATATGCGCATTATACATATGTTGTCTATTTTTAGTTTAAGCAGCTAGGTGACCAGCTATTTAGGCTGATTTTTTTTTCTTCATATATATGTTTGTACTTCTTATCGAGTTAAACTGGTTGTTTATGTGCTCTTGACAAATTTACTTGCACTATGCAATAACTTTGTATTTCTCGAAATAATTTACGAGTAATATCTCTTTAAAGACAGTTTATTTTGCTAACAAGGTGAACTATTGGAGCCTGTGAAAGGTGATGAATGTTTTTGGAGTTTAGAAGATCAAAAACAAGTAACAATTCTCATGACTAAAAGGAATCAATCTGATTGGTGGAAAAGTTTGTTCAAAAATAGCCCTGAAATTGACACACAAAAAGCTGAGCCAGAGCCAAGTAGACTATCAGAATTGGACTTAGAAACAAGATCAGCAGTTGAAAAAATGATGTTTGATCAAAAACAAAAGCAAAAAGGATTACCAACAAGTGATGAGATACAAAATCAAGATCAAATCAAGAAGATTATGGAAGAAAATCCTGAAATTGCTAAACATTTTGCTAATTCACCTGCTAATGCTGATGGTAAAGGTGGAATGTCTAATATTAGGATGATGTCAGGTGGCGGCGGAATGATGCGTTAAGTGGGAACTTGATGATGAGTCGATCTATCTATATGTCTTGTTTTTATTGTTATATCATAAGTTATTTCATGTTTTAGTTTTTTTTTTTCTATTATTTTTCGAGTTCGTGGATTTGGAATTATGATCCCAAATGTTTGGAAGCTATTTTCCTAGTTTTAATTGTTGAAACATGATATATAATCACGTGTGTTGACAAGCGATTTATTTGTGGAGATGAGTCGATCCACTTACATGTTTCGATTCTACTTTCATATCAAAAGTTAATTACATCATGTATTGCTTGACATAAAATGAATTATGAATTTATTTGTCTTTAATCGATTCTTTTTCACTATTTGATAGATATTTGATAAACCTATACTATTCTCTTTTTTTTTTCATGTTTAAGTTCTTTTCTACTGCTTTTCGGGTTGGTGTAATTGGAATTAAACATTTCTTATTCATTTTTCAATAAACAATATGTAATTAACTACTGATATAAAAATTGAAAATAAAATTTGTCAAATAAACTCATCAAGTTCCAAGATAAGTTTGAAATTGCTTTTTAAACCTATACTTATTTCCATAGTGTGATCGATAATAGATGTAAAAGGCCCGAGAATGAATTCACTGCCATATGGCTAGACAACTATTCCTAGCAAGACATTTTTTCTTTGGTCTTAACAAAAATGATTCTATCAACTCAGAATCTGTAGTTCTAAATAGGAAAAAAAAAGTGAACATCAAATGCAGTTATAAAAAATTCCCAGCCACCAAAAAAGTAGTAATTGCTATAAAAATATATTTAAAAAGATCAAAATAAATTAAAATAAAATACTATAAGGGTAATAAAGTCATTTCACTATGTGATTCCTCTTCAGCTCCTTGGAATCTTTTGTAAACTGATCTCTGCTCATTGAACAGCAAAGAAAGAAATGATTTTGACACAGTTGAACTACTAACTGCAGAAATCAATCCCCACAATCAAAACCTTAAAAACTCAATTTCCATTTTTGTCCCTTTCATATCCCCTCAGATTTTTCCATAAAAAATTTCCCACTGTCTTACTATTCTCAATTCAAGAAACCTATTATAGGTTTAAAGGTCAGTTTTTTGATACATATATGGCAATATTTTTTCTTGATTTGATATGGGTATTTGCTAAAAAGTTGTGAATTTGGGTATACCCTTTAGCTTTTCTTGGACAAATTTTGAGTTATTTGTAGTGTTGATTGATTTTATTTGGATTTGTGGTGAAGAACTGAAAATTTTGGGTTTTGGGTATTTGAGTTGTTGTGTATGTGATTCTTGAGCTGCTTATAGTTTGTTGGTTTGAGTAGTGGAGTTAGTTTTATTTGATGAAAGTATGTTGATTGAGAAAAGGAGTGATTTTTAGTATACCCAGTAGCTTTTCTTGGACAAATTTTGAGTTATTTGAAGTGTTGATTGATTTTATTTGAGTTTGTGGTAAAGAGCTGAAAATTTGGGGTTTTGGGTATTTGAGTTGTTGTGTATGTGATTCTTGAGCTGCTTAGAGTTTGTTGATTTGAGTAGTGGAGTTAGTTTTGTTTGATGATGCCACTACCAAGAAGGAAAAAGTTTGTTGGTTGAGAAAAGGAGTGATCTTTGGTGCACCCATTAGCTTTTCTTGGACAAAATTTGGGTTATTTGTAGTGTTGATTGATTTTATTTGGATTTGTGGTGAAGAGCTGAAATTTGGGGTTTTGGGTATTTGAGCTGTTGTGTATGTGATTCTTGAGCTGCTTAGAGTTTGTTGATTTGAGTAGTGGAGTTAGTTTTATTTGATGATGCCACAACCTAGAAGAAAAAAGTGGACTGAGGCAGAAGAAAGAACTCTAATTGATAAGTATGGTGAGATGTTATGTGATGGGACTTTAGCTAAAATGAAAACTAGGGAAAAGAAGTATAGACCTATAGCTTTACATGTGAATTCTGTGCACAATGTTCGCGATCCGATCACGTATCCATGGCAATGGACTTGGAAGGATGTGTCCACTAAAGTGCAGAACATGAGGCATCAGTATACACTGGTGAAGCAGAAGATTAAGAAGCCAAACTCTGGGGAGGAGTCGGGTGCTGGGGAGGAGTTTGATTGGATGGAGGGGCTAACTCATTGGTCGAACTTTTTAAGGTATAAGGAAGTGTTTGGGGATGTCAATACACTTGTCTTCAATTGTAGCGACTCCATGGCGGTTGTAGGAGATGGAAATGAAAATAGTGGGGGATTTGATGGGAATGGTAATGGTATGGGGATTGATCAATTTGGGCATCTAGGTCATGCTGGGGACGGTGATTTTACGGGAGTTATTAATGGGGTTGATCATGGTGTTACAGGTATGGAGTTTGATTATGATGGAGAAGAAGGAGAGGAGAATTTCAATGGTAGTATCAGGAGGAATAATCATTTGAAGGAAGATGCGGATAGTGGATTTGTTTACGAAGACATTGAGCCAACTGGATCTGATACGAGAAAGAAGAAGAAACTAAAAGGGGTGGAGAAGAGGGCGTGGGGTTTTCTTGCAACACAGTTGGCACAGTTAAAGGAAATGGAAGCTCGGTTTGAGCAGCGTGAGGCTGAGAGGGAGCAGGAGCGGCAGAGGAGAGAACATCTTAGAATAGAACTTGAACAAGAACGTGAGAGAAAATGGGAAGAAAGAGAAAGAGAGAGGGAGGAAAGGGAGAAAGCGAGAGAGAAGTTGCAGAGACAGAGAATTCAAGAATGGGAAGCAATGGAGAAGGAAAGTGAGGAGAGAGAGAGGAGGAGACGAGAGGAACAGCTTATATTTGAGAGAGAACGTGAAGAAAGAATGCACAAGAGGAGATCAGATTGGAAGAAGAGGATTGACGAGACGTTAGGTCAGCATCGAGTTGAAATGAGCCAGGTCCAGACTCGGATACTTCACGAACAACAAAATCTTACTAGTCAGCTTCTTGGAATTTTTTCTCAGTGGACTGGTCATCCAACTGGGCTTTCTGATCACACAGGAGCTAGCAACCATTATCTTTCACAAATGATGCAAAACTTGCACCATGTCAACGGGATGGTTCACGGTGATGCAAGGGTTGTAGATGATGCTCAAGAAGACCAATTTATCGTTGATGGATAAATAAAAGCAAGCTCCTTTTAGTATTTACATCGATCACCTGAATAGGGAAGGTGCATGTACCTTGCAAGACATGAACACGTGTAAAGGTCAGTAACTTGTAATTGTATTATTTGATATTAGGTTTCTACTCAGAGCCTATGTATTTGAATAATGTTTCCCATATCCCCTTTTTAATGTAGCCAGTATAGAATGTAGAGTTCTCGGCCTTTAAGTTTTTATGTCGCCATTGTTCAATAAAATATTTTGATATATTTATATAATACCATCATTTTTTTTAGTGAACTTTCTTATTTTGTTGTAGTTGTTGACTGGTTCACAAGTAGAATTTAGTGTGCATTTCCAGCGCTACCCTTGGTTCCAAAAGTGTCTGTACACATCTATGTAGGTGGTAGCTTTATCTGCTTTTTCTGATTAGTGGAACATATGTCATCTTGTACGAGAACTCCGTATTTATCACATCTTCTATGAAATCTCTGAATGTACTCCTTAGTTATCACCAAATGGCTCTTAGGCCAAAAATGATGTTAAAAGATGAAACTAAACAACTATGTTAGATAATCACTATTTACCAAATGAGCTCCAACAAAATCTCGCGTTGAAATAGGATTAAAATGTTTGGTCTTGGACCAAAAATATATGCTGGTGATCCAAGACTTGAAGAGTTTAACCTTGATTTCTGTCGTCATATTATAAGTTTATACTCTTATTTCCAGGCTACTACAATCAAAAAAACCTATGTTGTTCGCACTCTTCTAGAATACCACCATGTGCGTGCTGGATCCTCCAAAAGTAGTGCATTTTTGGAGAATCCGACACGGATATGGCAGCAATTCTGAAGAATCTGAGCAACAGAACTTACAAGTATCAATTTGATGTCCTCAAGATTCCTCATGACATACACAACTCATAATGCATTAGAATGATCAATGTAAATTATCTTTAAAACGTTACTTACCTATCTGTTATAAATACAATAATAACTTGAACCAAAAAGAAGTGAAAGACATTGAAAACCAACTGTACAAAGTAATAAGAGAATCTTGATACAGGCAATGACCTGTATACACTAGGAAATGCTAGTCTAGAACAACAAAATTCAGTTCTTTTCTCATATTATCTGTATATATATTTCGAAGAAGCATGTCAATTGGATATTGGTTTCCACACTGTTAAATCTTTCGAAAGCCAAAATAACAAAAAGAATGATATCGAAATGTCCTCCTAGTGTAGCATTGGCTTCAACCTGTCAAAAACCATCACAGCTCATTTTCGCCTTCTGTTTTATCCAATGAGAAACGCTTCTCTCTTCCTTCTTTATGAGTGAGTGTCTCCATCTTCCCTGTGCTCTCGTGATGATGCAATTACTGATCAAAACTCTACACCATTTGCTTCAAACCTCAACTGTAACTTTTGCGGTTTCACTTTCTTGCTTATAATCCATATCTGTTGTTGGAACGATAACAGGTAATGGTATGGATGGATTGTTTCCCATGTCCTTTGTTTTGTGAAGGAGAAAAGTACCACAGAGGATAGTTACAAAACCACATAACTCTGTAATTATCTGTGTCGTATTCTGATGAACATAGTCCTGAATCCCAAAACGTATCACCAAAATTAGAGAAGTGTGGAGTTACAACTTTCCGATCAAATGAAAACACGAGAACAATACAGTATATACTCATTAGAAAATAGATAAGCTGATAATTCAATTAGAGTTCATCTTCCTAACATTTCGATTACAAATCCTCTAAGTTGCACGGACTCTTCACTTTCAATGCCGCACCCGTGTCGGATTCTTCAAAAATACACTACTTTTGGAGAATCCGACATGCACCCGCACCCGTTGACATTTTTGAAGTGTCTGAAACATAGCAAATCCTTTGTCATGCTTCTTTAAAAGCAAGCAAACTTTCTTTTCTCTCAAACATCATTTCTTTCCCTTTAAAACAGTCAATTTTGATATACCTATTTATCCAGTTATCCACAGTATTGTTTTATTATTGCAACTACACATGACCAATCCATGTGATCTCAAAGAAGTGGAAACTGATAAAACTAAGAATTCTGAATAGCCATAACCACAAAACTTAATGTTGAATCACCTTAAACATTATCATGCTTGCAAGAATGGTCAGTGTTGTAAACATGACGTAGTATATCGGGGAAACCACAGCGGTGTTAAATGTGTCAAGTGCCTGCAGAACATACAATAGTCATGTGAACATTTATATTTTCAAAAAAAAAAAAAGAAGTATAAAGTAAGATGAGACAACATAAATTTGAGACTGAGACGTAGTTGATCCATTGATATGGTTTAGAGAAATTATGTAAAAATGGCACTACATGAGAGGTATGACTAACTTATTCAAACCAAATCAACATATCAGAAAACCAATTTTACTTAGAATTCTAAAATTATAAGGGGAGGCAATGTGAGTACCTTGTTCAAATAGTTTAGCTGCAAAAGGCAAAAGATGAGGACAAGCACTATAAAAACCCATGTCTCAAAATACTTGAATTGATTTTGCCCTCCAATTGTGAGCTTTATAGCAATTCCTATTGCTTTGACACCCATAACCTGAATAACCACAAGAAAACAACCATGAGATAAGATGTATGAAATGTACGCATGGAACAGTGGACTACTACAGTACATGAAAGAGAATAACAGACCGTGAGAGAACCCGCAAGTGAACAGATCCCGATGTAGACAACCAAATGAGACTGCCCAAAACGAGGCACATACCGGACAATAAGGATAAGTACAAGCACCAGAACTGTGAAAGTGTAGGCGAGGAACCCTGTCCTTATCAAAAACCTTTTGGTTAGTTAACATAAACAAAGCATGTATCTGGTTTGTAATTTGTAAATCCATCACTTCACTATACTTAAATGGGTGAAACCAGGAAGGATCAAAGAGGTTTTGAAGTGCTGGAATAGAGATGGAAATGCAGGAAGAAAGGAGGAGAAATGGAAGATGGTCCCATCATGTATATGGTGGACAGTATGGCTAGAGAGGAACCAGAGATGTCATGAAGGAAAGCAGAGCAACATACAAAGATTTAAGCTTAACTGTTTAGTTCTGTATTATTTTTGGTGTAAACAAGTAGTCTTAGATAGCTCAGAAGTAATCAGCACAACTATAGACTGGCTGTAACTTGGTAGGTATAGGAGCCTATGTAACTACAACACTTTTAGAGGGGAACTACACTTTTGAGGTAGTATACCTGTGGATAAATATAGACTAACTGTTACTTTTATCAAAAAAAAAAAAGATCCGTTTGTTATGTAAGTGTTCAGATAGGTAAATCTAGAGTTTAGAAAGTCAATGGGTTCAAAATGGTGTGGTCTTGTTAGATGTATATGTTTTTTCGAAAAGATTTCATATGTATACATAAATTAAAAGCGACGACATTTGGCAGAAGGTGCAATTAGCACGCCTACATCGACTTGCATATGCATCAGGCCTGTAGGTGCGAAATTATGGTGAGTGAAGGTGTTAAAAGAAGACGAGTTGTCTTGAAAGACCTACAACTTCTTGGGATAGATGCAATGGAAGAAAAAAGATCCATATACCTGATATCTACAAATGCAATAGGATTCAGTTTTGTTAGAGAACTTATTATAATTTTTACTACTATTTAACTCATTTTCCCTCTATTTTTATTTGGTATGGTGATGACATTAGTGAACTTATATGGAGAAGTGAGGATTCATATAGTCGACCCAACTTGTTTGGGATTGAGGTGTAGTACTAGTAGTTGTTATTGTTTTGTATATGTATTCGTAGTCCAAGCCGAAAGTGACGGATTCAATTGAACCGGCAGAACCCGTCCTAGACTCGCCTCTGCGAACAATGGAAGAATGTAACTGACAATCAACTTGAATATACCTGGCTCTGTTGCTAGGTACCAAACATCCTTGACAGATTGAATACTCTTTTCTAATGGGGCATGTAAGACAATAGTGACAGATCCAACCACGCAGAGGAGACAACCAACTATACCAAACATATGCAACCTCTCCTTCAAAATAAAATGGGCTAACACTGCACTGCACATGAAAGTTATATCAGTATTGAACTATAGAGCTATGTACTCGGACTCTTCATAAATGCTGCTGGATCCTTCAAAAGTAGTGTGTTTTGGGGGATCTGACACAAGTGCGGCAGCACAATGAGCTTCTTTGATTAAGAAATCTACCCAGTGATGCGACGTACCTCACAATCATACTTAAAGCCCCTAAGGGTGTTACAAGTACTGCCGGGGCATATGCATAAGCTGCAAAGTTAGCTCCCTCTCCAACAATCACTACAAGAAGTCGGAAGAATAGCGTTAAATAAAACCATCAGTATTTCACAGATAAGTTCATATATCAGACTCTTTAGACAACTTATCCATGAGTTTTTTCATGATATTCTGTGTTTTTTCTTCTTCCTAAAGCATGTTCCATGATACATGTAGGTTTTCTCAGACATACAACAACATCATATGCTCAAGGGCTCATACAACAACTCCAGTTCAATCCCGAGCAAGTTGGAATCGGCTATATGTTCAATGAATTCATGCTAAAAGTTAAAAGAAGAACAGTATAAAATAAAAAGGTTTATTGGAATGAGTTGTATCAGTATGACTCTTACTAGATAACATTCCAGCCCACCAACAAGGTTCCAACAAGTAGGAATGGCCTCCTGAACCTGTTCAACATTCAACATAATTGGTAAGTCATAATAACAGGGCAAATTTGCCTTGCCTCAACAACAAAAAACAGCAGAAACTTTAACTTTGTCAAAGAAGGAGCCAAATATTTTGATTGTTTAGACTTTTGGTAGTTCCTCCAGTGTTTGCAAATGATGCAGTGTTCTAGTAACTACCTTTGAACGTCTAGTACCGGACTTATAATAGTATTTTATAAAATGTCCGTGTATATTTGGTTGGGGGGAATGGACTGGTGGTCTGCTTAAATAGACTTGGACAATCCTCCCCTCACAAGCTAGACGAGCTAGCTTTTGGGGTTGAGCATATCATTGTTCAGTTAACCAAACTAAACTATATGTATTTAAACCATATATGAAGTATACCCTATGGGAAATTTAAAGCAATGAAGGTTATTACAAGTATGTTAAACTTGATCACAACCCATAAAGTCATGCTAATGTAACTTTGAGCATTAACACATAAAAAGGGCGGCGCGGTGCACCAATATTCTCTGGCTATAACCAGGGGCCGAGAGAAGACTAAATCACATTGAATTTGCATTTCTACAAGAGACTGTTTACATGGCTAGAGACAAAGGCATATTCCCATAATTGACATAAATAAACTACTCCATTCAGAGTTAGCCACGTGTCACGAATTCCTTGCATACCAAAGCCTGGTATTTACGGGGAGAAAGAAGCAAGCCTATTATTCATCGAGTTTTGAACCATTTTCGAGAAAAAAGAATAAACCTGCTCTTTTTCCATTTGCACCAGCTTTCTTTAGACCTTGTTTTTTGATAACAAAGCTGGAACCAATAAAAATACTGGATGATATTGCTAATATAACACCATGAACATTATCAGATACTCCCTCCATTTAATTAAAAATGGAGAGAAATAATAATAAGATTATAATTCTTGATATTCAAAAGCCAATTCTTTCCAACAAATAAAAACCCCTGCATATCACAAAACCAAATTATTAATTACACATACAAGAGAAGTAATTACAAAGCAAAAAAAATAAAATAAAATCTCAAACCTTATTCTTGATAAATATCCAAGAAAATATAAAATTTGGTAGATTTATGATAAAGAATGGATTATTTTTTTTAGTTATGTTGCTAAAATATATATCCTTTTCAATATTTTTCAACTTTGACAAGTTTATTTGGTTGTAAGAAATTATGGAAAAGGAAAAATGTTTCTTTTTCGTTTTTCCACTCTCTTTCTCTCTCCTCTTTCTGCATAAAATTGCAGAAATGAGAAGAGAAAGAGAGGGAAGAAAGAAAAAAAGAGATGATATCTTTTTTTGTTTAGAGAGAAATTAATCAGTCCTTTGCGCGATTTTTTAAAAAAATGCTTCAAATTACATTAACCACTTATTTTATGGATTTTGCTCCTATAATATTGCATGTGTTTTTTGTCACCTTCAATTTTAGCCTCTAATTTGTATGTTTCTAGATATGTAAAGTTTATTCAAATTTTAATTCATAGTTAAAATTAAGAAGTTCGACCCTCACTAACACTTTGATTGAATAGTTGTTATGTACTGTTTCGTAATATATCATATCATATTGCGTTATGTTTATATTGTATCATACAATATTGTTTTAATGAATATAATGTTTGGATAAATTGTACCGTTCTCTGTCATTACTTAATATCACGTACTCATAATGAATGATAAACCCATCAGAAAACGAGGATATGAGATAGAACTACTATGAAGAATGCGATCACACAAAATTGGTATAAGTACTACCACATAAATTGAGATAAAATGAAATGAGTAACAATCAAAACAAACACAATACTAAACTAACAAAACAATACAACGATAACAACCATCCAAACAAGGTGTAAGTACGTACCACATAAATTGAGAGAAAATGAGTAAATTTTTTTTAACTATCAAACAAGACTTCATATTAATTAATTAAACTAATTAGCTACTATACTTAATAGTCCATTAAACCAGAACTTTTGTAATTAGTAAAACTAATTAGATTAGATTAGAACTTAAACAGTTAGGGCTTTTTTCTGGTCTAATCAGCCATCAGTCATCACACTCTACCAGCAACACGCCGCGGCGGCGGCGGCGTCTCCAAGCAAACTCGAAGAAAAACCATTACCGTTGAAAGGCCGAACGCTACCAGAGTCGGCCATCCGTAATCGAACTCCTGTAATCCAAGATGAACAGAAATGTAGCAGAGTCCGTGCAAAATCCCCAAATCAGTACTAACGGCCCTCGTCCTCACGATCATCAGCGAGCAGAAAAAACCTACGGCAGTGGCGGAGACAGAGATGAACACCGATACTCGAGGAATGTTGAGATTTTCTTCCTTCAGGAGCTCGAGTATAATCGGAGAGGCAATCGGTCCTATGGCGTTGAAGGTGGAAGTGTGGTGAGGTACAATCATCACTGCCGGAAAAGGATTTACATTGCGGAGGACCGATATGAGTCCGGTCAGAAGTACCGGCACTGCTACGGTGGAAACGAACCACAACGCGTGGATGCGAATAGCAGCCATGGCTAGGAGAAAGAAAATCAACGCGAAAAACGACCAGATCTTTTGCTCCGTTCTCATTTTCGTTTAGTATTTTGAGAAAAATGCAAATGTAAGGGAGTTGAAATGTGATCGGAACCAAGCGAACTCCCAAAATTCCGTCGGCGCAGCTCCGGCCTGTTTCCGGTTGCCGATTGCGCCGATTGAGGAAGAAGGGTTGCTTTGTATTGGGCCCCACAATTCTATCCTTTGGGATTAGTCATAAATTTTTTTCATAATTTACCCTTAAAAATTAAGGCAAAATGGTCTGGTGGACTCTTATACTTGTATCAGTTTATATTCTAGACCATTCTACTTAATCTTTTGTCAACTGAACCCTTAAACTCAATTAAAACTAGACTTTTAAGCCCCTCCAACCATGTGTGTAGCTCACTCTCTTTTACATAAATGACATGTCATAATTATTTTTAAAATTATTAATCAAAATTATTTAATAAAAGGTAAAATAATAAAATTTTAATTTATTCTTTAGAGTATTATTTCACCATTTTCTGTTCAACTTTTTCGTGAGCTTCATTACTCTGATTTCATGTTTTGCATTTTCATATGTTTTTATGTGTTTTGTTTGACCTATTGATATGTTTGTTTAATGAGCGGAAACAATGTTGAAGTTCTTGGTGAGCTATAATGGAAAAAATGAAAACTTCGTACATTCAATTCTCCCAATTTTACGGCCAAAATCTACGGAGAAAGCCATTGCCGTTGTCGTCGCCACTTTTGCCGGCAAAATCTCATATACTCTCTCCCTCACCTGTCTACATCTCTGTCGCACACCATCACCATTTTCCTTTTCTCCTCCAACCTCCACAAAACCAACAACCTAAGTCATCGCACCACAGATCTGGCTGAAAAACCTTTTCGCTGCCATGACCTGGCACCCTTACCCACCTTGTTCTCCTCTACATTTAACCCAAAAATGTCATTCACTCGCCTTAAGAGCGTGTAGTTACACACTTTTGCTAACTCAGACATTCTAATGCCACAAAAGCTTGGTCAATGGTCAGAGGGATTTATTAAATTGTGTTTTATTGAGTTTAAGGGCTCAGTTGACAAATGAATAAGTAAGAGGGTTCAGAATATAAACTGATACAAGTAAAAGGGTTCATCATACCATTTTGCCTATTTTTAATATATGCGGCACAGTTAAAATTAGGGGTGCAAAAACCAAGTTGATGATTAATCGAATTGAAAAAAGTGGGTTTTTAATGGTTTTATGAAAAAAATTATCGGATTATCGATTTAATTTTACTTTTTTAATCTTAGATTTTTGGATAAATCGATAATTCGTTAAGACGCTAGTAATCTATTTTACTCCTATATAAATATTAAATATTAATCTCAGTATCTTACTAGTTATTGTCTTTGCCTTTTAGCTTTCGATTCATATTTTACTGTAACTTTGAGTTTACAAAATGTCAATATCAAAAGTAATAACTGTAATCCTCTTAATTTCTTTTTGTGTTGCACTTGAATAGTTCTTTTTATGTTAGTTATTACTGTTTCAACTTTTTACAAAACGTCAATACCGAAATAACTTTAATCCTCTTAGGGGTTGTTTGGTAGATGGATAGAGTTATACATGTATTAGTAATGTGAGTATTAGTTATGCAAGTATTAAATAATGTGAGTATTAGTTATACAAGTATTAGTAATAATGTGAGTATTTGTTATACAAGTATTAGTAATGTGAGTATTAGTTATGCGGGTATTAGTAATGTGGGTATTATTAATGCAAGTATATAGCTATGCATGTATTAGTTATACAAGTATTGGCTATGCAAGGTTTAGTTATGAATATATTATTCCTTTGGTATTGTTTTTTATATTAAAAATTAATAAAATTATATATTTTTTACAATTATACCGTTTCCTTATTTAACTTTGCTTTAATTTTCTATTTAAATTAAAATATTTCTTTAATTATGTTGAAGAAGAAAGTAGTAAATGGAAGTGATAGGGTAATTTTGTCATTTTAATTTTTTATTCATGTACACGTTTAATTATTTCACCTTCTACTCCACATAAATAATACACAAATTTCCTCATAACTTATACATGTATTAGTTATACAATTTTTAAAATTATCAACCAAATGTTGTATTAATTTTATACATAAATAACTTTTTTTCTTATCCACCTACCAAGCACCGTATTAATTATATGCATGACTAACTTTTTTCTTATCCACCTACCAAACATTGTGTTAATTATATACATGAATAATTTTTTTTCTTATCCACCTACCAAATGGCGTATAAGTTATACGGACTCTAATATATGGATAAAGCTTGTGTTTATCCGGCTACCAAACGACCCCTTAATTTCTCTTTGTGTATTGTACTTGTATAGTTCTTTTCATGTTAGTTACTACTGTACCAACTTTATGAGCTTTCTGTAAAATTATTAAATAACATTATTGTCGTATCACCAAAAATTGTTAGAGAAGTCATATTTATTTAATAAACATTTTTTATTGATTAAATGAAAATTTGGTAAAAGGAATATCTTATTCATTTTGTTATTAGTTTAGTATATCTAAAAATAATATCAATAAATCAATAATATGTACACCAAATTAAACCGACCAATACACATAAAGAATTAGGTTTTGGTTGGTGGACTAATGCGGTTCCACTGGTACTCACTACTCAGTGTGTCTTCCACTATGAAAAATTAAAAAAAAAGACACGATAAAAAGTAGTAGAAATAATTGAACCAAATGTACCAATCCACAAAAAAACCAAAAAAAACAAAAATGGAAGCTCCAAATTTCATAAAATTGTTCTATTTCTTAACTTTTTTTCTTACCATTTTATTTATAATTACATCTGTTAATAGCCAATCACAATGCAATGATACAATAGCTAAGTGTAATGAAGATATGGAGTTTTTAATGGAATCTGAAATTAGCAAAAGATTTCTTGCAGAAAGAAAAAAATATATTTCTCCTGGAGCTTTGAAAAGAGATCAACCGGTTTGTAACGGCGGCGGAAGCGGTCAACCGTATTCGCGGAGCTGCCTTCCGCCGCCATCGAATCCGTATAGTAGAGGTTGTTCCAAGTATTATCGTTGTAGAGATGATCCTGAATGAGTATATGAATTTTATGTTTATATTTGTGTCTACTTATACTTATTATGATGTTGCATTGTTGTTGTGATTTATGAATGAATTTTGCTTTTTGGTGGGACCATTTTTCGATTTGTGCGTATTATCTTTGTGGAGAGGTTATATTATTTTTCTCTGTATTATTTCAATTTTATCAGATGTGTGCGAAGGGATGTGGTGCTATTGATATTGTTGATGTGATTCATTTTTTTTAGTCACTAACTTAAGTAGTTACTAGAGGCGGATTAGGATTTTGAGTTTATGTGTTTTAGATTCTAATTTGATTTTTTTTATTACTGAATTCTTGATAGATTATTTATACATATTAAGTGAATTTGTTATTGAATTTTGTTGAACTCGTAGCTTCTATGATGGATTTGCCCCTATTGGTTATACCTGTGAATTTTTTCATTGGATGAGAACTAGGATAAAGATATCTTCTGAGATCGATGTTTTTGATTGGTAAATGAAAAATATGATTTAGCAAATCAAGTTATAGTAGTTGGATGAAATTTTTTAGTATTACATATTGGTCAATGGTCAGCTTATTAATTTCATGGATCATGTATTAAGTAACTCTAATAAATAGATGTTGGGGTAACATAAATCTTGCATATGTTAGTCCATGATCAAGTCAAAATTGATCACGAGTTTAAGTTATGAGACTTTCAGATTTGAGGTTCTCATTGTGAACTTTGAAGATGATGCTGAAATTCATCAAAGAAATTATCGATGTCTAAGACATGATTATAAGACTCTGACTGCGATTTTGACTCCGACTCCTTGTGTGTTGAATTGTTAGGTGTATGTACATGTATCAATTAAGTGAATTTTGTTATGGTAAGATCAATTAATAAAAGAAAAAATAATTTGAACCGCATCTCAAATTCGCTACAATAATTCTTAATATACTGAAATATATATATATATATATATATATATGAGCTTATATATATCGATGGTGAAAAAAACATTTATACGATCAATCATTATAATTATAGGTAAATCTCAATAACAAACATTAATCCATACACAAGCTTTGTGCTATTGAAGCTTAATATAAGCTCTTAGGTTCTTATTGCATTTCTAGTGTGTTAGTAGAGATGACAAAATCCGTTAAACTTAAAATAAAATATAACCCATCCAATCCGTCCAAAATTTCACATAGGGAAGAGCTGTATTTATTAATGGGCTCATAAGATGGGCAATGCTCAACTTGACCCGCAATATCCCAATAGCCCAAATTGACCCGTTACTTAACCCAAACATGACCCGTTACAAGTCAAGGTCAACTTCACAACTCACAAGAAATAATGAGATAACAAAGCAAATTACTATTTTTTTATTCCATCGCGTTTGCAAAATATTAATTATTACAAGTTTAACAAAATTAGAAGTATCTTTTTTTTTAATTATTATTTACGTCAAATCAATGAATTATAATATTTGTTATCAATTCATTTATTAGAGTAGTACGTACGGAGTAATAAATTGTAAATTATAATATTTGTTATCAATTCATTTATTAGAGTAGTACATACTAACAAATTGTACTTCATCCGTCTCAATTTATGCAACAATTTTTGAATTTTGAAATTCAAACAAATTTTTTATTAATTGTAATTTTTCATATATCTTTTAAATATCTTGAATTATCAATTATTGTGACTTATTATACTTTTTTACACAATTTTAAATATGTAAATTAAGGTTTCATACCCAATTTTACGATTAAATTTAAACTATTCAACTCTTAAAATTCGAATTGTGTCATGTAAATTGGGATTGAGTATTGAATTTCATGTATTCACAGGGGGATGTGAGTTGGAGAGGTACAATATGTGGGTCCCATATTTCCATTGTTTTTAAGGTACTAGGTAGGTGTGTACAAATTACAATATAAATAAGTACTAGGTACTTTTATAAATGAGCAAAATAATATAATACTCCATTCTTATCATAAATGAAGAAGTTTTCAACTAATCCCTCCGTTTCAATTTATTTTTTCTAATTTTTAATGTGACACGAAGTCCAAGAAAGTAAGGAACACTTTTAAATCTTGTAGTTTTGATTTAAGATATGTAAAATGTACCCAAGTTACAAAAAATAGTTGCCAAAAGAGGAAAACGACATTCATTTTTGAAAAAGCCAAAAGAGAAAAGTAAGATAAATAAATTACAACAGACAGAATATTTCTATATATCTATGAGCAGTAGTTGACCTGAACAAACTCATCTATCTGTTTAAGGCTCCTTAGAACTGACAACAATTATATTCAACAAGCATTGTGGAGTTCTAAAGCTGAATTTCGACAATGGATTATGATCTATTGAATGAGAAAAAGGCGTTTGATGATTCAAAAGCCGGCGTTAAGGGACTAGTTGATGCTGGAATAGTCGATATTCCACGAATTTTTATTAGGCCACCTGATGAACTTGTTGATGAATTGAATCAATGCAAGTTACAGGTTCCAGTTGTGGATTTCAGTGGCATAGAAATTCAGGATCGGCGTAAGAAGATAGTTGATGAAGTGAAGGAAGCATCAGAGAAGTGGGGATTTTTCCAGCTGATAAATCACGGAGTTCCTTCGAGTGTTTTGGAAGGAATGATTGATGGTACCCGTAGATTTCATGAGCAAGATGTTGAAGTAAAGAAAGAGTACTATTCGCGTGATAGAACAACACGAAGAGTTAGATATGAGAGCAATCTTCATTTGTATCAATCACACACCGCAAATTGGAGGGATACGTTGAACATTTCTATGATACTTACTGGTCATATTGAACCTGAAGAAATACCGGTAGTTTGCAGGTAACTAACTATATCTATGCTTATGCGTGCTCTTGAATTGCAATTCTTTATGTGTCCTGTTTTATGCCTGCAGGGCATTGAATTTTTAGTAAGAACATATGTACTTTTTCAAAAAAATGTTCGTAATGATTAATCTGGCAGTCCTCGAGGCGTTGTTTAAGTCTAGCAGAGTAGAACTGTTGAAAAATATGCATAGCGGAAGCATTTCAGAATCATACTCCTTAATGAATAATAGATTACATAGAAAAGTGAACAAATATCTTCCAGTAGGTTGGACACCAGTTATGTGGTCTACTGTTGTGATCCCAAACTAATACCCAAACTCTTTCAATACTTGGGTGAGAAAACCTCGTTCGTTATAGCACTTGGCCTCATGATACATGATCAACAGTACTCTGAAAAGATTCCGTCTTTACGATTATTTGGCATGTTAGACAGGGTTATCTAAACTTAGTTATGTCTGATATTTTCTTAATAATGTCCAGGAATGCATCCATTGAGTACATCAATCATGTTAGAAAACTTGGAGACACACTTCTTGACTTACTATCAGAAGCTCTTGGGCTAAAACCGGACTACTTGAAAGCGATGGAATGTGACAAAGGTAAAACATTGGTATGCCATTACTACCCGGCATGCCCACATCCAGAGCTAACTCTTGGTACTGATAAGCACACAGATCCTGATTTTCTCACCATTCTGCTACAAGATCAAAGTGGTGGCGCCCTGCAAGTCGTGCATGATAACCAATGGGTCGATGTTGAACCGATTGAAGGAGGCTTGGTTGTTAATATTGGTGACTTTCTTCAGGTTTGCAACAAAACACACTCCTAATATTTAGTGATAATGTTAAAAAATAGACCCAAAATATCATTTTTTGCGAGTTCCCTACCTGAATTATCATGTTTTTGCATTTTCTACTTGAACTATCACCAACTATTTATCAAAACACACTTCGACTAGCAGTGGTGGAGCCAGAAATTTTAATAAGGGGGTTCAAAATCTGAGAAGTAAACACAGGAACTAGTGGAAGGGGGTTCGACATCTATTATACATACCTAAAAATTAATATTTTTCGTCGAGGGGGGTCGGATTATGCTGCCTCCCCCCCTGTAGACTAGTATTCAATGGTGCGTGGTGTACACTCTCTTTTTTGGTTTAAAATGGTGCCAATGGAACTCCTAGCTGATAACTAAAGAAACTAATTGGAATTTTTTTGTAAGAAACAAATGGTCAAAAACACACTTGAAGTATCCTTTTTTGCGAGTTTCCCACCTGAACTGTTAGGTATGTTCGTGTTCTCTACCTGAACTACCACCAACTATTCATGAAAGTCAGCTGCCATGTGGGCGAAATTTCATGGATAAATTAAGTTGTCACACGCCTTTTAGCAATTGTATTCAAACACTTGGACTAGTGTTTCGAATAAATAGTTGGTGATAGTTCAGATAGGAAATGCAAACACCTGATCGTTCATATAGGAAACGTGCAAAAAAAGTGATACTTCAGGTATGCTTTTGACCATTACCTCTAATATTTATCTTCATATTTCACAAATTTTGACTTATCTCAATCTGTTTTTTCTTTTAACAGATCCTATCAAATGACAAGTTTGTAAGTGTAAATCATAGAGTTGTAGCAAATAAGATAGGACCAAGGATATCAGTGGCATGCTTCTTCCATGGTGCTTTTGAACCTCCAAATTTGTATGGTCCAATTAAAGAGCTCATATCAAATGAAAATCCCCTGCTGTATAAAGAATTTCTTGTGAAAGATTACATGGCTAAGTTTTTCTCCAGGCCAATTCATAAGTCTGGTCTTGATCTTCTAAGAATGTGAAAAAAGTGACCAAGCACCATGTCGTGGAAACCACCATAAACCTTCAGAAAAAAGGTATAGGGTGCTTACCGTCTGATCAACTCCCGACCCTCTTGTCATGTACAATAATGCTTACCAATTATTGAGTGTGTTTTTCATATACAATTTAAAAAGAAAAAAAAAGAGTGTTTTTGTTATTCTGTTGTTTCTTTTCAAATGAAAGGATAAATATAAAAAACATGTCATTGTGTTCTTTTTGTAAAGGCAAGCACATTGTATCCACTTAAGGTTTTTTTGCTCTGTTGTATATTGATATCCTGCTGTCCTATTCTGTTACCTTTCAAAATCGGTACATT